ATGCTTTATTAGCAGGGATGGAGACTTTTGATTTTTTTTAGGAATACCTCATCTAAACGAGGGGAAGGGAATAATTTCAAAATAACACAAATATTTTATCTCTTTTGTTGTATGTGCGACGTATGTTCTACATATATACCCTAGTCAGATAATATTTTTTGTTAAATTATTCAAAATTTTTTAAAATTTGTCAAGAATTAACGTATTTTTTTTAAATACCCCGTATTCTAGATGTGAAATTCAACATTCACAGAAACTTTTGGTATGAAAAGCTCCATATCTTGTATAAGGAAGTCTCCGTCTATTTTTGTCACAATACAGAGTAATCATTAAGAGTATGTTGTAAGTAAAACAAAAGAGATAAACTGTTACATTTTTCTTCTTCCGTTTAGATAACCGTTTTTCTGATTAGTATCAAGATTTAAGACTCGTCTTAATTTTATTGAATACTTGTTGTCAATTTTATTTGAATTGTTGTACAAGCCAGTTTATGAGTATCAACATATACACATTAAATACCGAAAGAAAGACAATCAAAATTTTATAAAATAAAAAAAAATTAGAAATATTATTATTGTAAAGGTGAATAGTGATTACTTTATTATAAAATTTTTATACAAAACATATTTTAATATCTTGAATGATTTTGGAAATATAACAAAAAAAAAAGCAATTAAATACGTTACCTGTAAAAAATAATTTTATCCCATTTTTTCACATTAACTATATTTTCTAAATTCATCTATTTACGTAATATATATGTGTATACAAAATTTCATAAAATTTGAAACTTCGCAAGGTGCCTCTTGTGTTTGTTCTTTTGCTTGATCCATATTTATTACGGAATCTATGATACGCTTCTGTATAGTTTTTGCATCCTATACTGTAGAAGCACTCCAGTGAGGAATACTTTCCCTTCGATAGTTAATGCGTTCATGTTGTCAATCAGTATGTTGATACTTGTAAACTGGTTTATACAATAACTCGAGTAAAATCGAGTCTTAAATACTTAATCAGAAAAACGATCAAAAGAAGGAAATAATATCATAGTTTATTTTCAACATAATTTTAATGATCACTATGTATATTATTTTTAATTTTGATATAATTTTAGTGTACCATATGCTTAACTGACATGCGCAACATATTATATATTTCCAGTATATTTAAAAAAAAAAGAAACAGCTGAAAGGTATGTTTCTCTTTATAATAGAAACTATAGTAATTGCTAATCCATATCTATGATCTAAGGTTAGATGAAATATCAATGGATTTCAATTCTCTTGATTAGTCGTCAAAGGAATTCGCCTCGTAGCTGTATTGTCTATGTTTCACGATCATAAATAACGTGACGCTTATCCCATAATAATTGTGTAATATACAATATTGTTTGATTTATTTTTATTTACGTACCTGTGTGAATATTACAATGTTAATTAAACATAGAGATATTAATATTCTTAATACAATTAATATTAATATTCTTAATACGATTAATTCAACGCTGGCTTTATTTGCATCACAAACTGATTAAATTCCACAAATTTTGAAACATAACGTAATTGCTATTTAATAATACCAAAATTTCTGTTATTTTTATATTTTTTATATAATTTTTAAGAGTTGCGTTAATATTTTTATTTAACATTTATTTTAACTTAATTATTTATCGATAATGAGTGATAACGAAATAAATATTTAAAGTACATTTTACATATTTCTAAATTTTGTATTAGGTAGAATATAATTTAAAAAATAAACAGTGAAATTTGTAAAATAATAATAATAATAATATCATGTATATTTTAATTGTAAAATATTAAATAAATTGTAATGTTAATTATTGCATGAACTATATAAAGAAAATAATTCAAGGCTTTTATTCGAAAATAGTAGAGAAATTTTGCACTGTAAGATTTATGAATTAATTTATTAACGTTGCCGGATTTCTTGTTGCAACTCACGCCAAATAAGAAAACTACAGATACAGCCGTCGTTTCCAAAGGCAACGATACTTTGAAAAGGGCAACGGCAAAAAGCACAGTGAGTTGAGTGATGCGACTTAACGAAACGACGACGTAAGGATGGCGAGCAGGGGTTGTAATGGAATATGTTTTGCTACTAGAGAGAAGAAAGAGAGTTTGCTCTGGAAATGTCTGTGCTCTTAATGTCCAGAACACATAGCGGTCTTTTGTTTTTACAGAAAATATATCAGATTGTATGAACTTCTAAAGGAAAGGCTATGGCGGAATATAACAATAACTGTAACAATGAGAATAATAATAATGATGGCACGAAACCGAATAAGAAAGATAAAGGCTCGTGTTATCCGGATAATCATATCCTTTGTGAATAAATAAGAGAAATGCCTCGGCGACATGCGCGGCATGCGCGCGGCTCGCGTTTGCTGTAAACAATATGTATTGTACTTTTTATAATTAAGTCGCGTCAACCTTACATTTATATTCATATTAAGACTTGAGACAAATAGTAAGAAAAATATCTAAATAAACTTTATTATTCAAAATGAAGGCGAAACATTTAAGAAGGGTGTACATAAAACATTGTAAAATCTTAAGGTCTTCGTTGCAAGTGAAAAGTATATCAGAAACCTGTGATGTAGAGAGGCTCAGCGTGACGGATATATTCCCTCGGCCGTTAACTCTGACCATAAGGATGTTTTGAGAGGAAACACCTCCAATCGGTTTCTTTAATCCCGGCTATATATTACTCCCGTTAGGTTAGTGAAACCAAAGTGGATTGCAAGTATCTCGACGTACTTTCTCCCAGTCCATTTATAATTGTAATCGGAGATCGGGGAAAAAATTCCCGCATCGTAAATTCTTAATGCACGTTTGGATGCTGAGCATTCGTTATATTCATCAAATATTAATCAATCAGTATGTTATTTATATACGAATCACGATAATGCTCACAACTAGAACGCTATCGACTTATTCTTCAACTGGTCTACGGGGATCATTCAATACGCTTGCAATTTCAAGCTTTACCGATATAATATGCATGCATCAGAAAATACCAAGATACGAAAAAGATATATACGAAGCCGCAATCGATGAAAATTTAATATGTATGATTGCTACGAACGGAAAGTTATTTAGATAGGATTTATTAATATTTTGCCGTACACACAGAAAATATATGTATTCTACTTTTCTTGCCAAGAATTGACATCCGCCTCGACGTGCTTCTCATCCAAATCGAAACATTTCAACTCGAATTGTTTCTCATCTATAATACAATATATCCGGAATGAGAATGTGCGCGTAATAATTTCTAATTTTCGTGCAAAATTGAATTACAATTTCATTTGTTTTTTTTTTTCGGAATTCACGAAATAATTCGTGGAAAAAATTCAGTGAACTTCTTACGTAAAATTTCGTAGAACAAAAATTTCCTTTAATATAAAATTAACGGCTGCACGCTGAATTCTTTTTCGTTTGCCACCGTGTTTTATCACGAATGCGTTTTCTTAAGAACCGTAACGTTCGTTGCACTATATAGCGCGTATATAGATAGTATATGTTGTATATAATGCTGATGGAAGTAAATAACCACGATGAGGGGAGTGCGAAGATGGAGAACGTAATGCAATCTTACCTCACATTCGTTAACTATACTCTCATTTAGATAAGCCCGATATTTTGACGTGCAAAAACTTGCGCGGCTAATCTTGGCGCTTCTTATCTCGAGAGTTCACACGGAGGCTGCAGAATAGTTACTTCATAGTGGACATTCACCCTTAAGATTTGAAATACATCTGCGAATTCGTGCTAATCTTCACTATGCTCAAGATAGGCAACTATGACTAAAATAACCAACTTTATATGCAGAGTTGAAGCATACCTAGATACACAGGTACAGTTACCTAAATTGAGATCTCTGTACTTAGGTAGTACTAGGTACGGTATGCAATTTCCACCAAAGTACTTAAATACCTAGATATTATACTTCCAAAAGTAAATGAAGTTTAATCGCTAAAGATATCTAATTATCTAGATATTTCCAAATAAGTATCTAAGTACTTAGATACTCTAGCAGAAATTACATATCGTACCTATAGTACTATCTAAATAGATAGGTATAGAAAGATCTCAATTTAAGTACTTGTATCTATATATCTATAAGTATGTTCCAACATTTTATATGCTGTTATGAGCTATCAATGTTAGCAATATACACATTCAACTAATCACTGTCGAATGTGTATTTTGACTTTAATCATGATGTACTGAAATAATTGATGTAACGATTTCAATAATGATATCGTAAGTAAATGTGTTCTGAGCCTACGATATGTGTGTGTTTTGTGTGTAATATGTCTAAAGCGACTCCTAGTCAATATTATTGTACAATATTATTAATCGTCTGGAGGCTATATTGAGCTCTAGATTGTTTCGAATTGTTGTAAGGGAATCCTAAAGTCATCTGTTTCATCGATCGAACGCAATAATTTTTATATCATTTTTTCGTATGTATAATATTACTTTAACAGATGTGAAAAAATCCTCCAGAATTAAAATATAGATAATAACACAGTCCGGATGGTATATGATTTTATATGAAAAAAAATGGAAAATTAGTCTTGCAATCGACTTCTGATATCAATTTGTAACAATATATACTTTGTATAAAAGTTTTATACTTCAAACGTACAAAGCTTTACTCGGTTTAGGGATCACACCAAAAAATAATACTATATTTTTTCATACAGAAATAAACCTAAAAGCTTGAGTATAAGAGAAAAGATTGCGTGAAAATTATGTTACAACATTGATGTAATATATAGCAATCTGTCGATATTTCGTACGTATGTGTATAAAGTCTATGTGTATAGATCAGTACAACACAATGCCGTCAAAGTTCGTTCTTCAATTTAGGATTCTATTAAAGAGGGCATCAATAATATTGTACAAATAATATGAGTGTCTAAGGGCCGCTTAAAATATGCGACAAAAGAATTGATTATGATAACTTACCACGTCGATGATTTGCTGCAGAGTGATACCAAACCTCACCTCCAGTGGTTCGCTCTCATTCGCGACCGGTCGCTCCAAGGTGTTGTAATTTGCCAGCAGGTGATTCAGTAAGCGTTTCTCGTGGCGCCCGCAAAGGCTTTCTGCGATAAAGAAAAATCGAATGTCAGTCAAGCTTCGTACGTTATTCCGGAGGGTGAGCCGCAAATAATCACGACCCTTGTCAAAACGTATTTACGAACAGATACGAGAGAAAAGATTCTCACTTCGTCGACAACAGTCCTGTTTTGTCGCAAAAGGTATATGATAGAAGGCAATTTAATTATTTTTGTTATACGAGCAGAATAAACAATTCTGGGAACGTTTTCCTAGTTGCTGCTTTTTTGTTCTCAAATATTCAGCAATTCGCGTCAAAAAGCAATTATTTACGCAGATTTTAATACTGATAAAAGCTGCATGCAGTTTTTCTCTCATCGGTTTCAACAAACATATTAGGCAACATATCGCAATCAATAATTGATAACATTCTATATATTAAATTTAATCGGATTAAAACACAAATCTATTTTAACTATATATAGAATTATATCATTCTCTTTTCAGATATGAATTCTTTAAAAAATTATTATATATTTTCTTGTTAAATTTAAAAACTTACTACGCTAAATAACGAAGATGTAATTAAATATATAAAGGACTTATGTATAATTAAAATTGTCAAAGAGTAATTCATAAATAAAAATGAAAGGTTGCAGCATTACATCATTTTTCGAGTAAAATATTTTACTTGTCGAAAGTGATTCAATAAATAAATAAATCTATAATTTGTTCTTAAATGCCTTATAAATGTTAATGTCTTGCTAGTGATCTTCAGTCCTAATACACTGGGGTGGACGAATTAATGCACGTCGACGATTATAAAGTTCGCTAGTTTCCAACTTGCACGAGCATTGATGGAGAGCTCCGAATCCGTCAGGGACCGAGCTTTGGTCCACTTTCCCGTTCAATTCCAGTCTATCCGCGACCGAACGACAGCGCGAGCAAACTACTTTAATCCTTCGACAAACACGGCGCGAATGCATTCCGTTCCCGGCCAGGATCTGGGCCAGATTGTATTCGAGCACGTGCCACTGCGGGATCAAGTTTGGGCTCCAGCGCGGTGTGTGCCGACGCCGCAGAATACGAGATGCAACAGGACTGCGTCCACCGGGAGAATAATGGTCGTCGGCCCCGCGGCTGAATTCGGCGCACGTGCGCCCATTCAAGACAAGGGTTGAAGTATCGTGAGTTCGCGACAAATATACTATGCGCCATGAAACGTTTACTGCCGCGCGAAACACGGTCTATCGCCTGATTCAAATATTTCGCGATTGCATTCCGACTTCCCCTCCCTTGCTTCGTCTTCTCTTTAGTTATATTAATATTCCAAGTTCAAGCGGAGTACCAAGGTATCTTAGAAGGTCTGAACTTCCTCGCGAAATTCATCGCTTCATCATGTTGCAAATTCTGTTGGTCGATAATCACGTATCTATAGTGCAACTTGATTCGCCTGAAACTCGGGGTCGTTCAGATTGACAAGGAAACATTATAAGCATAATATATACAATACGGTATATTCTGTTTGGATAGAATTAATGTTTCACGACGTGTAATGATTAATTTGATATTGAAACGGTTACTTCGTATACAATTGAAATGTCTCTTGAAATGAAGTGCACTGAGTTTTCAAGCAATATACTATATTTTTAATAAATGTAGATTTGTTAGAATTTGATACGAATTCGTATCAAAAGTCTGATTTCTGTTTGAGACGTCTTTCCCTCAAATTAAATCTATTTTGTTCCTCAATATATCAAATATGAATAAAGACTGAAGAGAAGATATTGTCAACAGCCGACTAAATTCTATGACTTGGAAAAATCGTAGATGAGACTCTTTGGAATACACGGAGAATTTTCTCACAATTTCGACATTAAACTTTTTCAACGGCTTATTATGATTAAAATGTACTAAAATGGTAGAGAACCATTCTCTCTATTTTCATGTTGGGAACGGTTCTGTATAGTTTTCTTGTAGTAAGCGAAATACGAACATGCTACATTGTAGCTAACTCCCATAGTGGAACAAATATCACGATGTAAGTTGTTTACACATAAATTCCACATTAAATTAATAAAATCGTAATAAAAATAAGAAACAGATCGCAGATATGTACTTCTTGGTAAAAATTGCATCTTTAAAGTTACTTTATAATAATTAAATAGCAAAATGTTTTAACAGAAAAACAAATATAAATTGTTTTAGTTATATTCTATTACTAATATAAAAATATTAAATATAGATTACTAATATAGAAATATTAAATAGGAAACATTAAATGAAATTAAATATAGGAGTATTAAATATACATTTCGTCAGAGTTAAGTGTTGTAACTAAATATATAAGTTAACGTATTCCCTCTACATATATTAATGTCCGATTTCAATTATTTTATGATAATAAGTTACCGTTCTTATTCAAAATACATGTCGCGTGGTAAGAAACTTTTCTTTTAACTATAAATATGTCACGTAGATTTAGGGCCATAGTATACAAAAAAACTGAAGCAGTGAAACGTAAGCAGTAAGTGAATTGATTAATCACAGTAGAGACCGTAAGGCCATAACGTAAGCAGTAACAAATCCAACATGTTGATTTTCTTACTGCTTACTTTTTACAGTCTACATTTTTACGTGTGTCATGATCTTTACTCTCTCAAGCTGAAGAACATTAATATGAGATTATTCAAAAATTTACTTGTCTCTTTTTGAATCAGATTTTTCTCTTTTTTTTCGTTGCAATACTTGTTTGATTTAAATGAATCCTAGGGAAAAGTATATATTATAAAAGAGATACTTTGCGGTAACTTTTCAGCATTGCTTTTTTCGTCATAAATACATAAACGGAATGTCAATTTATTTCTTGTACCAATAACTTTCAATCTCCCTTATATCTTTTCGATATAGAAATTGAAATAATCTCTAATGCATCTATTTCAATTAGAACGATAGCCGCATTATTCAAACATACGTAATTACTTACGCCTACTCTCTCTCTCTTATCTATGGGTTAATTATTTTCAAACCCACCTCTCGTGGATCACAAAAATGAAATTAATTCAATCGTTAATCAGATTAGTCAAACGTATTACGCATATATCGATCGGACGTTAATTTCTAGTTTATACACTACGGGAATTCGTGTGGCGTTGATTAATCACCTTTGTAACGCTCAACGTAGAACGCATGCCACACATTTGACTACGTGTGCTGTGTAAACATGCCGAATTATTAGGACTGCAATTAATTATGCGGTAAAAAGTAATTTATCGTTGCATTCCCAGTGGCCAAGTCCAATGAATGATTTATCGAACATTTGCTTGGAGAACAGAAAAATTAACAAAAAAACGCCATTTAATTAGCCGCTTTGATGGTAATGAGCGCAAATTCGTAATCAAAAAACGCCATCGCGTAGAATATGAAAAAAAAAGTTGGCAATGCGTTATCGGCCAATTTTCGCTTCAAAAGGCAACGCGCCATATCAGGGATATTAATGTATTGAAAAAATCGATAATACTGCTAAAGGATAAACGTGAATCCCTTTTAGCGATCCCTCGAACGGAAGTAATATGGTTCGAGACTTGTCTTGAACTTCTTGAATGAGCAATGGCGAAACGGAGCAGCAATAAGCAACTTCGCCGAATCGTGCAATGGCCATTTAGCTGAGTGTTGAAAGACGGTGGCAGTAATTAATGAGGCATACGTAAAACCGAAGGGGAACTTAGGGAAAACTAAATGGGCACGTGCGTTGAAATTCCCGTGTATCAAGAGAACTTGTGTTAATGAATCTCCTAAGGAAGAAGAAGCAACTGCACTAGAACTGTAGAGAATATCTTCTAATTATTACACACTAATTATGTATTTGCTCTAATAGATAGAAGATAAGTAATTTAGATACCATCATTGAAGTCTAATATAAAAAACTATATATATATATATATATATAAAAAAAAAAGAGAGAGAGAGAGAGAGAGAGAGATTTCGTAAAAAGAATTTTTAAATCTAGTCAAAGACCATTAAGAAATTATTAATCCAGCCAACTGAAAACAGTATAGTGATGAATTAATTTTTCTTTTTATTTATTTTTTGTTATGCTTAGAAGGGATATCAGTTACATCAACATACAACAATAAATAATAAATGTGGTTTGCTTATAAAATGCTGCATGTGCTATTTCATTTATTGTCATACTTTGTCTACATATAAATTTATACAGCATCTTTTAGCCTCCTATGTTATATTTTAACTACCTAACATTCACATTTACCACTACATCGTTCAGCATTTGCATAACTTAAGTCGTATATATCTCAAGTGTGCTCCGTAACGAGTGTAACTGCCGTCATTTTGAACGATAGTTCCGCAATTTCTTAACGTATTTTCTCGTTAGTTCCGATAAAGCTTTATAATTCATAACAGTTTATTCGGTGGGCATTATGTGCTTTTATCATACGAATTAAACTGTTACAACGGTCAAATTGTTAACAAACGAGAAACAAGCATATGTTGAGAGCAATCAGAGCGCACGAGGTGCATGAATTTATGAATTCTATAAACAGGATTATCCCATGTTAATAAATTCCTGAAAATCAACATTAATTTGGGAAAAGGCTTCATAGGAAACACGCTTCGCAAATGCCATGAATAGAATCAATCTCGGTACACCACCATTTCATTTCCGAAACTAGCAAAAGCGGATTAACGAAGAGTTTCTCAACGAGAAATAAATGTAAAAATTATAAATTAAATGAGATAAAATATATAGTCGTTACTTCAAAGATAATATTTTTCTAAATTTATGTGTAAATTAAGTTAAAGTGTTTCCTCTTTTTCTATCACATATGGATAAATAAACTCATAATTCATGCACATGTGGCTTTGTACTGATCTGAATACACTTTGTATTTAAATCAGTAATCTGGTTTCTAATCGTATTATTACAAATCAATAAAATTTATACATAAATAAAATAAAATAAATTTAACATAAATAAGAAAAAAGGAATTTTACTTAAAAGCACAGAATAAAATACAATTAATACAAA